AGTAATATTGCATGAGTTCCTTGTTTTTCAATGCAGCGTAGTATTCCATTGTGTGAATATACCACAGCTTCTCTATCCATTCGTTTGTTGATGGGCCCCCTAATAACCTTTTAAGGTTACCAATTTCCCTTAAATTATTCCAGGTACCTGAAGATGAATTCTAGAAACCTGGAAAATGGTCATTAAATATTCTTATTTTGAAACATTATAATTTAGGAAAATATAATTTCTTCAGGACCCATTTTTTTATGGGGAAAATCACACTCACTTCATTATAAAGTGATAAAATAATTAAAGTGCTTATCTAATAGGAAGTCATCCCAGGCACTGTATAACGGCAACTGATGCTGTTATAGTTATTCTAGGTGAACAGCCCATTATTAGATGAATGGATCTCTGCAGAAAACAGAGTACCAGAGGAATGTCTGTGTTTCATTGACTATGCAAAGGCATTTGACTATGGGTCACAACAAACTGTGTCTAACTCTGAGAAGGATGGGAATCCCAGAACACTTGAATGTGCTTATGCACCGTTCAAAATCAGGAAAAGTGTATGCTAGGAATGTATCCTATCCACATAACTTTTCAATCTATATGTGGAACAGATGATCTGGGAGGCTGAACTCTATGAGAAGTAATGTGCCAGTAGGATTGGAGGAAGACTAATCAATAACCTGCGTTATGCAGATAACACACCTTGCTTACCAAAATTGAGTATGATCTGAGGTTTTTGCTGCAGAAGGACAAGGACTGCAGCTTTCAATATGGATTGAAGATCCACATTAAGAAAACAAAGGTTCTCACCACTGGGCCAATTTGCAGCATAGTAACAGACAGTGAAGAGACTGAGATTGTTAACAGCTTCAGCTTGCTTGGCTCCACAATTAACACTCTTGGTACCAGCAGCCAGGAAATTAAAAGACAAATTGCACTGGGAAAAAATCTACTGCCAGAGACCTCTCCACAGTACTGAAGAGAAACAATGTCAATTTAGACACTAAGGTGTGCCTGCTCCAGGCCATGGTCTTCATAATTACTTGCTATGCATCAGAGAGTTGGACAATGACCAAAGACAACAGAAGAAGAATCTTTGAGTTTTGGTGCTGGAAAAGAGTATTGAATATATTATAGACTACTAAGTGAACAAACAGGTATATCTTGGAGAGGGTGAAAGGAAGCTGCTCCTTGGATGCAAGGATTCTGAAGCTTTTGAAAAGGGACATCATGCTTGGAAGGGCGGAAGACCCTCAATGAGATGGACTGACTAACTGACGGGGAATGGGGATAGGTGTGTCAGATGATGAAACTGGCACAGCAGAGAGCAGAGTTCAGAGCTGTTGTACATAGGATGGCTATGAGTCAGAATCGACCCAACTGCACATAGCAACAGGTGAAAAGCCACCCTAGAAAATAGTATAATATTCTAATCATCCTAATTGCTAATGCATAATTACCTATCAACCAAAAATTTGTAGTTCAAGTTCTATATTATTTGTGTAACTATAAGTAGCCTTTTAATCACAACACTTTCAATTTACCCTCTAAGTTTCTAATCCTTTGCTAGTTCTCTACAGGCCCCATCTTTTCAACATCTCTAATCCTTGCTCCTTTAATTACCTAAGATTTCAGGTATTTGATACAGAAGACATCCATGAAATTATTCATATAAAAACTTTTAAGTTTGCAAATGCTTGTACCAACAATTCTTACAGACATGTGACTCTTACACCAACACAATCACAGGCACAAAGTTGATGCTGTATCTTGATTTTACTGATAAAGCCAAAGATAAATATCTAGAAAGTAGTATAAGCCTACCCCAAAGTAAAATTTGTACTTCAAGGTCATTACTCTCTTAACATGTAAAACTAGGTAGTATCCTTCTTGCATAACCTTTTTATAGTCTTTCAACACATAAAATTAGATAGTAACCTTATTGCATATTCTTTTGATACTTATAAACATGAGCAAAACCCCTCTTTGCAGCTATCGGTATATCCCTAAAGTAACGCTACAATCTTCTCTAAGTATTTTAGAGAGACTATGGGCAATCCTAGCAACCTCAAAGCCCAAAGTTACTTTTAATGCTGCATAGTTTTCAAGAAAGAAGGTCTTGCAGGATGCTTCATGGAAAGGATAAAGACTGCCACAGTACCTCTCTACACCACCCTACAAAGTATTCCACTCTTGTCAAGTACTTGCCCCTTTTTTAATCCCTAGAGTATTCTTCAGTCTAACATCCCATCAGGAACCGTTCTCAACCACCACAAACGATCAAAGACACTAAACATACTTTGCCTTTCTCGCCAAGCAAGCGCAAGCACGGCATAGACTACCCAGAACATTTAGCAGTGTCCCTCTTCGCTAATCCCTGGTTGTCAGAAAAACTTCACCTTCAGGAGCCCACACCTTCTCGCCCCCTCTCCCCAACACTGACGGCTCCACGCTCACTCTCGCACCTCCTCCAAAAACCCCAGTCTCTTGGGTTGGCGGGCAACACTTCCTATCTTCCAGGCTCGGATCGTCCGGCCTGCAGCCTGCTGCCCCGGTTCAGACCCAGTAGATCACGGCCCTTTTCGTTCCCCCGAGCTCAAGGCCCATCAGCCCGGTCTCTGCCCCGCCTCCCTACCTAAGGCGCCAAGTCCTCGGGGCTCAGTCTCAAGGCCGGGGATGAACTCCGAGGGCCACAGACGCTATAGAGAACACAGGATGGAGGCGGCATCAGTGGTCTGGGCACGGGACAGGCCAGGCCCTTAGGCCAGGAGGTCCCAGGCCCGGCCGGCTGCAGGTTCCCCGTGGCCCCGGCTCAGCCCTTCCGACCTGCTGGCCCCGCGCCTCCGCGGCCTGTCCTTACCTGATCTAGGTTCTCGTCGCTGCCGCTGTCTTCAGTATCCGAGTCGATCACGACGCGGCCTTTCCGCTTCTTAACCATGGTGGTCCCGCAGCACTCACCCCGGACGTCTCCCGGACTCCCGTCTAGCCCGTCTGCCAGTGGGATAGCCACTGCCGCCACTGCTACCGCCGCCACTGCTACCGCCGCCACCGCTCGACCTACACAAAGGCGACCGCGCATGCGCGCTCTGCTCCGCCTCTCCCCGCCTTGTCGCACGCCGTTCGCCGGCGCTTGAAGCCCCGCCCCTCTCCGCCCTTGACGCAGCGTGGGGGGCGTGGCCGCACGCGTGCTTAGTTCTGAGCAATGGGCTGCGGTTGGTTTGTGTAAGTCTCAGGAAACCCCCTATGTGTGTTTTGCTACGGGGGTCGAAGGGTAGTGCACTCCCTATTTGGTGGAGGTTGGGGCGGCGATGATTTGAGCCTACTTTGAAGAAGCACAGTGTCAGCAGGTACATCAGAAGCCTAGGAGAAATATGGACCGCATTGGATGGAGTTAGCCTGGGCTATCCAAGTGACACCTGAACTGAAACCTAGGGGATGCATGAGTTGCCAAGAAAGTGGAACAAGGGTATTCAGACACCTAAAACGGTCTAGAGAAGGATGGACAATCTCCTCCAGTGACATTAAGTGCTTCTGAAAACCCGCCGGAGTGCCAGCTGTGGGTCGGGTCCAACCCGACGGTAAACAACAGCAGCACGAGGACCTGTGGTAATAGGCAATGTTGGATTCAGGGAACAGAAAGTTCATTATGGGGAGTACAAAGAATGGTTAAGATGAGAGTTAAGGATGAGGAGGGTCGTAGTGGCTACATATTTCAGAGCCTAATAAATTGTGGTTTATGAAGATTATTTTTTAAAAGGTAGGAACAGTGTATCAGCAGGAAACTGCCAGAAAATCAAGCTGGATTTAGAAGAGACCTTGGACCAAAGGAATAGTAATTGCTGATAGATGGGTCTTGACTGAAAGCAGAGAATACCAGAAAGATATTTACTTGTGTTTTAATTGACTATGCTAAAGCATTTGGCTGTGTGGATCATTACAAAGAATGAATAACTTGTCGAGAAGAATGGGAATCCCAGCAAACTTAATTGTGCTTATGTGAGACCTAGACCAAGAGGTAGTTGTCAACAGTACAAGAAAGCACTGCACGATTTAAAATCAGGAAAAGTATGCATTAGAGTTGTATACTTTCCCCACACCTATTGAATGGTGACAAACAATTTGGCAAATAGGAAACTCTGGTGGCACAATCTGGAGTGCTAGCCTAAAGGCAGTGCCTCTCTGCCAGTCCCTCAGCTTCTCTTGGGAGGAAGACGTAAATTCCTCTCCTGAGTGATTTACTGCCTTTGAAAACCTACTGAATGTCAGGATTGAAGGAAGACTCAACAACTTGCTTAATGCAAATGATACATTTCTTGCAGGAAGTGAAGAGGACTTGAATCAGTAAATATAATCAGAGACTATAACCTTTAATATGGATTACATCTCAAAATTAAGATTACAACAATTCTCACTACTGGACCAATAGGCAACAGTATGATGGATAGGATAAAAGATTGAAGTTGTCGAGGATTAATTTTACTTAAAACCATACCCAACACCTATTATTGTTGTTATGTGCCCTCAAGGTGCCTGTGACTCATCGCAACAATACAATAGAACCTGAGCCAATCTTATCTGACAGACCTAATCCCATTTCTCCAGTCACAGTCCATCTCATCCTGGGTCTTCTTTCCTGTGCTGTCCCTCCACCCTTCCAAACATGATGTCCATCTCCAATGACTTCCTGACCACATGCCCAAAGTATGTGAGATGGAGCTTCAAAATCCTTGCCTCCAGGGAGCAACTTAGTTTTACCCTCTCCAGGACACATCTGTTTGTTCTCCTGGCAGTTCAGGTATGTTCAACACTCTTGTCCAGCACCACAACTCAAAGATACCGATTCTTCTATCATCTTTTGCTGTTGTCAGCTCTCAAATGGACAGCAGGTAATTGTGAAGACCATGGCCTGGATCAGGCACATCTTAGTCTCCAAACTGACATCATTGCTCTAGAGAGGTCCCTGACGGCTGACTTTCCCAATGAAATTGGTATTTTGATTTTTACTGCTGGTGCCAAGAGTGTTAACTGTGGAACCAAGCAAGCTGAGGCTTTTAACAATCTTTCTCCATATATGAAGCCGCCAAGAAAATCCCCAAAACACAACAACAAAACAACCAACTAATTGCCAGTAGAGTAGAAACCGACTAGCAGCTGACCCTTGAGCGGGGTTTTTTGAGGCTGTAAATCGCCTATCTTTCTTCCGAAGAGCAGTCGATGCATTTCAGTTGTCTTTTTGAGTTGGCCGTGCAACTACCTACCTACTAGGCTACCAGAGATCCCTACAGTAGCACCAGTCAAGATAATTTTGGAGAACAGCTTGGCAAAAAAAAAAATCTCAGTTTCCACAACGTGTTTGTGTTTGCTATTCGGCCGGGGTCTCCGCAAGGTACTGGAACGTTAGGATCTTAACTCCTGGTTTGTTATAGGACATGAAAAACCGATGGACCTAGACAGGAAATGTGGGTAACCCGAACAGGAAAAGTGAGGGACCAAAGGGAAGTCTCTTTTCGCTGTTTTCCTGCGAGGCTACCTGTTACCTACCGTGGCTAGTACGTCCACGACGCGGCCCGTAGACCGCGACGTGGCCCGAAGACCGTGGCAGGTGAGGATTGAGGAGATCGTCTCTCAGCAGTGAACGGATCTGAACCATTGTCTTGATTAGTGTCGGGGCTGAAAGCTGTGGCTGCAGAGTTAATTTTGCCGGTTATTGGATTTGTGACTTCAGTGTCCTGGTCTCTATAATTATATTTAGTAGCATCTCTTTGAGTTCTGGTGAGGAGTCAATGAACCTTCATTTAGAATACTTTCTGATACAAGTCTAGATACAATCTTTGCTAATGATAGTCACTTCGAGCCTCGTGTACGACATTCCCAGCAAAACTCACTGTGTCGTCCACCTAATGGGTTTGACCTTTTATTTATCGGTAAAAACAGGAAACAAACATCTATAATTAATATTATATTTTAGTGAGGTAACAATTTACTAAGTTTGTAAAATATGTTGAATAATATAATTTGTAATCCTTTCACCCTATAGAGCTTTTATTTTTCTCCTAATATTTTTCTCTTTATATTTTGGTGTTTCTACCAAAGTACTATAATATAGACAGTGTCATAGATGGAGTAAGGATTGAGTTTGCTAATGATTTAATCTTGCTTGGATTGACAGTCACCATTCTTGGCACCAGCAGTTAGGAAATCAAAAAGCGAGTTGCATCTGTTGTTAAGGATCTCTCCAGAGTGCTAAAGAGCAGTTATATCAGTTTACAGATTAAGGAATGCCTGATCCAGGCTATGTTCTTTTTACTTGCTTGCTGTGCACCGAGAGCTGGGATGAATAGGGATGACAGAAGAATCAATGCCTTTGGGTGTGGTGCTGGAGAAGAGTATTGAATGTATCATTTAATGTCAAGAGAATAAGTCTATCCTCAAGAGGGTGAAACCAGTTAGCTCCTTGGAGGCAAAGATTTTGAAACTCCATCTCACATACTTTGGTTATGATGCCAGGAGGGACTAATCCTTTTTTTTTTTTTTTGAAAACCCGATGAAGGAGTTTATTATCAGCTCTCGGGCAGGTTTGCTGTCTGAGGCCAAAGAAAGGCAGAGTAAGGCAGTAAAGTTACACATGGCGAAGCTATAGGTAAAGTTTTATATGCAGTGGGTTGGAGGTAGGGTGGTCTCTTCGGTGGTCAGCTCTCTATGGACAAAGCTGATTGGATGCCCTCTGCTTATTCTCTTATATGGAGCTACTTAGGACCCTTAGGCGGGTTATGTCATAGCTGATGGTTAGGCAGGATGCAGCCAGTGGTTGTGCTCTCTTCTGATTTGCTGTAGTTGTCTTACACCAGCATGATTAGAATGTCTCCCAGAAGTTGCAGTCAGTGTGGAATGTTGTCCAGCTCCCAGGTGGCCTTCCAACCAAGGGTGTCAATTGTGGATCCAAGTAAGATGAAGTTGTTGACAGTTTCAGTCTCTTCTGCATCCATCATCATCATGTTGCCTATAGGTCCAATGGTAAGAATTTTTGTTTTACTTGACATTGAGATACAATCCATAATGAAGACTGCAATCCTTGATCTTCTGCAACAAGTGCTTCAAAATCCTCCTCACTTTCAGCAAGCAAGGTTATGTCATCTGCATAATATAGGATGCCACATTACTCTTCATAGAGTCCAACTTATCAAATAAATTGGTCAGCATAAAGACTGAACAGGTATGGAGAGAGAAGACAGTACTGATGCACTCCCCTCTTAATTTTAAACCATGCAGTGGTCCTGTGCTCTGTTTGCACAACAGCCTCCTGGTCCAGGTATAGGATTCAAATGAGCAAAATTAAGTGCTCTGGGATTCCCATTCTTCTAAATATTAGTTATAACTTGTTATTATCCATATACTCAAATGCCTTTGCATAGTCAATAAAGCACAAAGAGACATTTTTCTGGTACTCTTTACTTTCAGCCAGGATCCATCTGACACAAGCAATGATACTTCTAGTGCCACAGCCTCTTCTAAATCCTGCTTGAATTTTGGCAGTTCCCTATCTATGTTCTGTTCTATTTTTTTTTTTAATGATCTTTAGTAGTATTTTGCTTTCATGTAATATTAATGATATTGTTCCATGGTTTCCACATTCTGTTCATCTTACTTGGCGTGAAAATTAACACCCTTGGTGCCAGCAGTCAGGAAATAAGGAAGGAGGGACTAATCCTTGAAGAAGAACATCATGCTTGGAAGGGTAGAGGGTCAGCGCAGAAGAAGAAGACAAAGGATAAGATAGATAGACATAGTAACTGTGGCATTGGGGTCAGGTGTGTCTGAGATGTTGAGCCATTGTTTATAGGGTCACTATGAGTCATGGTTTACTTGATGGCATATACAACAACGTCAGTGTATACGGAATTCCTTCTTGTTTGTGTTATAGACAAAGTGTAGTGTTCCTGAGCATCATTTTTGTGATTATATAATTTTCCATTTGTGTGATTTATAATTTTTCTGAAATTCCTATAGATGTAGGTTTAAATAATTTAAGCATAACCTATTATGGAAATTTAGATATTACCTATATCTGGAGCACCTTGTAGACCCTGTGGGGTAGCTTAGGCTTTATTCTGAAGAACAAGAGGAGTCAATGAAAAATTTAAATAAGAAAGGTGAAATATTAGTCTTATGTTATAGATCCTAGATGTGGAATCAGATTGCTCCTTAGGAGCAAGGAATGCAAAGCTTTGTCTTCCATACTTTAGGCATGGTATCAGTATAACAGTACTCTTCTTTCCGTGTTTATTATTTCCATTTGCCCTTTGCTGACTGTCCTCTTGACAAAGCTCTGGTGGCATTGTGGTAAGGAATAGTGCTGCCAACTCAAAAGTGTTCAAATCTACCATTTTCTTCATGGGAAAAAAATAAGCAGTCTCCTTTGTGAGATTTACTGCAAATGAATATCCCCTGGAGGGTCAGCTGTGGGTTGGTTCTGATTTGATGGTTGTTGCTGTGTAGTGTTGAGTTGATTTTCCACCTTTTTCCCTTGGAGCAGCTGGTGGTTTTGAACTGTGTATTTTTGCCTTGGTAATGTAATTCCTTACCACGAAGCCACCAGAGCTCCCACTGGAGGTCAGCTATAGGTCAGTTTTGATTCAGTGGCACACAACAACAATAGCATTACTTTTTGCCTTCTGAAAGAGCTCTGGGTACTTGATGTGTTACAAGTTGCATTGGTAGTCCAAAAGCTCTTCAAATCTTCCAGCCATTCCACGGGAGACAGATGGGCAATCTCCTCCTGTAAATTTCCAAAGCCTTGGAAACCAGATGGAGAGTCTCTATGAATTGGAATCTACTTGGTGTCACTGGGTTTGTTTGGCTCTTTGATTCCTATTTTCTGAGTATTATCACTAGGCAAATGCTACACTTTTGATCATGTATGATTGTATGTTCTAAGTTGTATAGAATTTTCTGGTTTTGTTTGCTTTGTATGCCTGTCTAAGGAGCCTGCTGATGTAGATCATTAGACTGCTGACCAAAGGTTGGATGTTTGAATTTACTAGCTGCTCCATGGGAGAAAGATGACCCAGTCTCCTCCCATAAAGATTTATAGCCTGTGAAACACAATGGTGCATCACTATGACTTGACTACACATCAGTGGGTTTGGATTGGATTTTTTGTTTGTTTGTTTATTGCTTGGCTAAAAGGTGAGCAATGGTGATAACTTCAGTTCCAGGCTTGAAGAATAACTAAAATCCATAGTCTCAGGGATTCTGCCAATATGTATAAGACCAGTACGCCTAGGCTTTTATTATATCTAATTTTCTTTCACATCTTTCTCCCACCATCTCCAGAACCCCTTTCAGAGCAGTTAGTTGTGGTAGCTGGACATCTGTAAAAAGAGCAAGGGTGATGGTGGAGTGACTGAGTTAGACTTCCACTAACTCCGTAAAGAACTGTCCTTACCAATAACATCCAATATGTAAAACCAATCCTGTGGTAAGACATAGTCCCCCACACTAATGCCCCTACTTCTATTAATCTATTAATTAATTGCAAAAGTTGTGGAGTTTGTTAAGGACATAGGTTGAGGGGTGTCAGGGAAATCAAAAGATAATACATACTGAAAGTCCAGTTTCAGTCCACCAACAAAAATAAACTATTTTACTCAGTCATCCAGCAAGTCTTGTCTTATAGCGGTCAGCTTTTCTGACTTCATCCTCTTGGCCTTGTCAGACTATGCCTTGCCATAGTCTCTTTAAACTCTGTTCAGCTATCTCTAGTATGTTGTTCCCACAGGTGTTGATGATATAGAAGATACTGATCATTGTTGAGTCATGTGCCTGCATTTGAGGCAGCTGGAGAATACTCTCCTCCCCTTTAGGAGGGACTAAGGCAGTAGCTAGAAAAACCGTTTAGAAAATGCTCCCACCACAGCATCATCTGGTTTTCAGGGTTGTGGAAGCTGGGTTTCCATGATCCATTAGCCCTTTGGACTAGTTTTTCCTTTGTGCCTTTGATTTTCTTAGCTCTTGTTTGGGAGAGTTCAATAGTTATATCTTAGTCTAGTGGAAGGATTTAAGACCAGGGTTCTAGTTCAGATTTCCCTACTGATTTACATTGTGACTGACATTAGGTAAATCATTAAAAATTTATTATCTGCTTCACAAAGAAAGGAAATATCCACCTAATTTGCCTCACAGGAATTTTGTAGATTATGTGAAATATTATATGTCATTGTTGTTTACTGTGGAGTTGGAACTGACCCATAGCTGACCCTCCAGCAGGTTTTCAGAGGCAGTGAATTGCATGGGAGGAGAGTACACATCTTTCTCCCACGGAGCAGCTGCTGGCCTTGAACTGTGTGCCTTTGGAATTGCAGCACAGCTTCTTTCTACTTTATATGTAATTTGAAAATATTAAGAATGGTATTTGACCCCAGTCAAAATAGCAAAATTTAACAGAACAGCAAGCAACAAATGCTGGCGAGGTTGTGGAGAAACTGGAACCCTGATTCACTGTTGGTGGGAGTGTAAAATGGTGCAGCCCCTGTGGAAAGCGGTATGGCGCTTTCTCAAAAAGTTGCAAATAGAGATACCATTTGACCCAGCAATTCCACTACTGGGAATATACCCTGAAGAGACCATAGCTGACATCCAAGCAGATATATGCACACCCATGTTTATTGCAGCTTTGTTCACAATAGCAAGGAGTTGGAAACAACCTAAGTGCCCATCAACAAACGAATGGCTAGAGAAGCTGTGGTATATTCGCACAATGGAATACTATGCTGCATTAAAAAACAAGGAACTCATGCAATATTATTCAAAATGGTCGACTCTGGAGAACATTATGCTGAGTGAAATATCCCAGTCACAAAAGGACAAATATTACATGATGCCACTGTTGTAGAATGGGACTGTCCTTGGGGTTGGGGAGAGACTGAGTAAGATGGGTTCATTAATGTATACTGCACTGAAACAGAGGAGGGAGAGAACTGTTTAAAAGAGAGATATAACTGGGTATTTCTGTCATCACAGGAGACTAGAGCGAGGGCTACATGGTGGAGGGGACCTGGGGGAGGGTTTGTAAAACAATGAAAGAATCTTTTCTTTTACTTTTCCATAATTTTTGGACTCATGTACTTATAACTTGTTAGTCAAATTTGTGTCTTCTAGGTTGCAACACCCCCATGATACATCTTCAAGGATATGAACATGTACGGCCAAGCACAATCAATAAGAGTGCATCTAAATTCCAAAATCAATCTCCATAATAGTCTGTGTGTTTCCTACTGCCAAAGGGGCCCTTTAGAGTAGTGAGAGAAGATCTTCACCCTGAAACCCACAGCGTCCCTTCTCAGCAGGAAGTAGCTAAGAGAATACGCCATCCCCTTTTCCTTATGACTCAGGGTGAAGTCTCTCTCAGGGAGGAGTGATAGGGAATGGCAAAGGACACATTGACAAAGAAGATTAATCAGAACTGGCTTTGACAAGCACTGTGGCATTTGGACAAGAACAAACTGGGAGGAGGGTAGAGAGAATAGTGCAACAATGAATGAGTGGAAGCCCAAAATCTCTGTAAATGTTTATGAAAATTAATAAAATATAATTATAGAAAAAAAAGAATGGTATTTGAACTTGAGGTACTGTTTTAATACTACTGTTGTTTAGGGTCTGTCTTTGGGTAGCAAGTAGTGATTCATCTCCAAAGCCTTGTTGCTCTAAGTGTGAGCCTGGACTAAAGTTTGTTGCACAGACAGAATCTTGAGACCTTCAAATTAGAACTGAGTCATAGCAGACCCTTTAGGAGGCTTTTGGAGTCTGTAAATCACATGGAAGCCCCTCTTTCTCCCTAGGAGCTGCTGGTGGTTTAGATCTGTTAAAATAGAAAACCTTTTGTAGCTATCATTTCCTCTAATCTTTGGAAGAATCCTGTAGAGTAGGTAGAAGAGGATTCCAAAGATCAACTGGTTTACCTGAGATTTGTGTTGAGTGCTGTTGAGGGTCCATTCTGACTCTTAACCCTATGTGACAGTACAACTTCCCCTTAGGGTTTTCTTATCTATAGAAGGATGGGCAGTCTCCTCCCTGCAATTTACTGCCTCTAAAAATCCATGGTGGGTCAGCTATGAGTTGGTTCCAACTTGAAAGCACACAACAACAGTCTGTATAGGAAGAATTGACAGGTCTTTTTTCCATAGACCCACTGAGTAAGTTCAAACAGTGAACCACTCAGTTAGCAGCTGCGTAACAGTCCACCACAGGTCTCATTTATTTTCCTGAAGGTGAACAGCTTTATTAAGTTTTGCAATATGAATCCACCAATATTTCAGTCTGTCAAAGTCATTGTTGTAAAAATGGAACTGATTCACTGCAGATCTTCCAGCATATTTGACTTCTTAAAAGAATTTTATTTTTTAAAATTTTTCTTGTTGTGTACCATTTAAACAGATCTTGCAGGCACAAGAGGAGATTGCCCCTCCTTCACCAGCAAAGCATCTGGTGGATTTGAACTGTGTATGTCTGGGATTGCAATGCAGCTTCTTGCCATTAGGCCACCAGAGCCCCCTGATATATCTTCTTGAAATAGATTTTGGCATAGTAATTGAATTATCTGCAATTGATTATTAGATCCCTAAAGATAAAGACATTATTTTTATTCATCTTGGTATCATTCACAATGCATAATAGACAATGCTTCACTCATAGTAGGCACCAGGAAAATATTTATAGACTTAGAAGGTGAATTAATTAATTTCAGATTATATAACCTGTGTTGAATTTGAAATTGTGCATTCATTGCTTCAGTGGTAACTTTTTGAATGTCTCTTCTGTTATAGGTTGGGCTGCTTGCTAATACTACAGGAAGAATTTTTACACTTTGACTTTTTCTTCTCATGGCTTTGATTCACAAATTGCTGAATGGTATTTATATTTTCAGAAAATGCCAGATTACAGGTACGGCTTCACACCTATTTTGGGGTCCTCACTTTGCAGACTACTGTTCCAGTAGTCTTCAGAAACCTGTGGCTGCTCCTGGCAAATCTGACTCCTCTGAGAAGAAAACAGAAAGGAATTTACAAGGACATCATCAGACCGGAGTTTCTTTGGACATAACTTCTCCTGAGGAGAAACCTGAAGTTAGTTTTGATAAAGCCATTCGAGATGAAATAAAGGACCATTTTAGGCGTCTGAAGGATCAATTTATGATCCAGTGGATAGGACCAGAAGGCCGCCCCCTGCATGAAGTCTTAAAGGAACAAGCTAAGGTTGTCTGGCAGTTTCGTGGAAAAGAAGATTTGGATAAGTGGATAGTGACTTCTGATAAAGTGATTGGGGGAAGAAGTGAAATATTCTTGAAAATGGGCAAGAATAACCAAAGTGCATTGCTGTATGGAAATCTAAACTCCGAAGCCCCTCACGATGGGGAGAGTAGCCGCAGTGGGTACTGTGCAATGATATCCAGAGTCCCAAAGGTAGGTTTTCTAGTGAACAGCAGTAAACTATAGCATGAACTATAAAGCAACTTATGTTTTTGTAAATGAAAACACCTGACAGTTTGTAATTGGGTACATGTATGAAGCAATTGAATTCTGGAGGATAGGTTCTCTTGTTTTAGTTGAAAGTCAGGTGTAAACTATTGGTTTTTTTTATTTTGTTCACTATTGTGTGTGGACCTTTGTTTTAAAAGTCTGTTGGGCCCTCAGGCCTGCTGTTAATTTTGTTGGGGAAAAACATTCTTCTAAGTTGTACAGCTCTGGTCTCCCAGTTTGCTGTACTGGGGGTAACTTGGGGTTGCTGTGATACTGAATATTGTGCCACTAGTGTGTCTAATGCCATAATGGTTACCCATGGTAGACAGTGTTTGGTGGAGCTCCCAGAGTAAGACAGGCTTGGAAGCAGGGTTGGCATCTATTTCCTAAACAAGATGTCATTGGAAACTCTACGAATATTAGAGAAAAATAGTTATAGAATGGTGTTCAGATCTTTTGTTCATAGCATGACTCGACAGCACTTTACAACAACATGATTTATGTGTTGGGCTAACTCCTGGGCACAAGTATACCAGTAAAGAGAAATCATAAAAGGGAAATGGTTCCTCAGGGGTCTTATTTCTGGGCATCTCTTTAGGGCAGGGTAGAACATTCTTATATTTGTTTTAGAAAATATTTTCACTTTTTAAAATTGTGTTTAAGTGAAAATTTACAAAGCAGAATGTTTTTCATTCAACCATTCAATTACATTTTGTCTTTTAACGTTAATTGTAATGAACACCAACAATGTTACTGAACTCTTCTCACTTCCTCCCTGAAAATTTCATTCCCACCAATCCTTCTGTGCTACCACTTCCAGCCTCAGTGCTTTATCTTTGGGCAAATGCTACTCTTTTGACCTCATAAAGTTGGTTAGTCTAAGGATGAGTCCCTTCCTGTTGTTACTGGTCACCTTATAGGCCTGTCTATTTGGTTAAATGTTAAGTTTTGTTTCAGCTTTAGAGGCTAAGAACCATGATCTTGGGGATTTCATTGTCTTTTATCACTTATCATTGTCATTTATAATCTGTTTTTTGTTAAAGTTTTCACATTTTCTTACATATTTACCCCCACTCTATCCAGGATCTCCATTTTAGAATGGTCATCAGTGATAGCCAGTTGTGGAAGTTGAAATTTATGTGGTCCAGTAGTCCTTTTAGACTGGTTGTTTCATTACATCTTTGCTTTTCTTCAGTTTTTGTTCAGGACAGGGAGAGAAAATAGTTGGCTGCTTGCAGCTCTTAAGACCCTAGTTGCTTCTCATCAAAGGAGAATGTAGAACATTGTCTTTGTGGACTCTGTACATGAGCTCTTTGTCCCCTAAGATCTTAAGATCGCAGAACCATCAACTCATTCCCTTAAGGGTGCTTGGATATTATTAAGAAGCTTCCAGACTGTTACCTCCTCCTGTAGGCTCTGCTGTGTACATGTTGTCGTTAAGTGCCGTCAAGTTGCAGACGAGTCATAGTGACCCTATGAACAAAAGACCTGAACACTTATATAACTTTCATTGGTTCTCTAAGTACATAGAGTTTCTGGAGGCAAGCTATTTTGGAAGTGGATGCCACTCCTGTTTCCAAGCCTGTTTTAATCCGGGTGCTCCACCAAACACTGCCTACCATGGGTAACCATTATTGTATTTGACACACCAGTGTCACAGTGTTTAGCACCAGTGCTATGCCACTTAGAAGAATGTTTGACCAAAAACAATTAAAACCAGGCCTGGGGACCATACATTATATGTATATTTATAGCATGGCAAATCTCCCATGTGATTTACTGCCTTTGAAAACCCACTGGAGGGTCAGCTATGGGTTGGTTTCAATTCAGCGACACACAACAACAATGTGAATAAAGAATATCTGCCAAATCCAGGTACAGTCAGGGTGTATAGTTTTTTCACCTATCCATACCTGTTCATTTTGCTCTCTACTATCTATTGACTGCATTTCTTGTGTACCTCTCTGTGCCTTCCCTTTCTTCAGTAATACTGTGCTGATCATCCACTTATTGTTTTTTATTTTTCCCTTCACCCATTTTTATATGTGACTGATAACTATTTACACAAATTTCTTCCCCTCTCCTTCCCTTTCCACTTCTAGTATTCAAAATGATTCTTCTTTCTGTGTATAAACTTTCCTTCGCTTTTTAGAATAGTGGTCTTAAACAATATTTGTCCTTTTGAAAATAATTTCTTTCATTTAGCCTAAGGTCCTCTAAATGTGTTGTGCAGTGTTCTTTGAATTCTTCATTGTCCTTTAGTGTTGCGTAGTACTCCTTTGTGTGACTTTATCATATTTACTTGAACCATTTTTCCATTGATAGATTGTTGTTGTTGTTGTTGTTATGTGCCATCGAGTCGTTTGTGACTCATAGTGACCCTATGTACAAAAGCCCTAAACGCCATTCTTTGCAATGCCAACCTTACTGTCTCGAACACATTCATTCCCACCACTCTACTCACAAAATCGATCCATTTCATCAAGGGTCTTCCTCTTCCAAACATGATGTTCCTCTCCAAGGACCAGTCCCTCCTTGCAACATACCCAAATTATGTCACACGAAGCTTCAGAATCCTTGACTCCAGGGAACATTCTGATTTCATCCTCTCCAGGACAAACCTGTTTGTTCTAGCAGTCCATGGTATGTTCAACACTCTTCTCCAGCACCACAGCTCAAAGGCATCAATTCTCTTTCTATCATTCCTATTCACCGTCCAACTCTCCAATGCATAGCATGTAATTGCAAAGACAATAGCCTGGATCAGGTGCACCTTAGTTTCCAGTCTGACATTGTTGCACTTCAGTACTCTTGAGAGGTCCATCACTTGGGTTTTTTCTGTCTCTTTGCGATTGCAAATAATGGTGCCTTAAACATGGATATGCATTTATCTGTGTCCCAGCTCTTATTTCTTTTGAATATATGCCTAGTAATGGGGATTGCTGGATCAAATAGTATTTCCATTTCCAAGTTTTTAAGGAAATACCAAACTACTTTCCATAGTAATTGTTCTTTTGCATTCCAGTCAGTAATATATCAGAATTCCAATCTCTCCACACCTTTGCCAGCATTTATTTATTGTCTTAATGAACGTTGGATTGTTGCAGGGGTGAGATGGTATCTCATTGTTGTTTCAATTTTCATCTCTTTAATGATGATGGATGGAAAAGAGATTGAGGTTAACAGTTACTGCTTGCTCAGCTCCACAATCAACACTTTTGGCACCAACTAGCAGTCAAGAAATCAAAAGGTCAGATACTTTGCTGGAGAAGGAGGGGCAGTATCCTCCTTTGCTAGTCAGATTGGGTTTTGGTAGTACACAAGAAGAAGAAAAAAAAAGAAATCAAAAGGTGAATTGCGGGAGCTCTGGTGCCTAGTGGCAAGAAGCTGCACTGAATCCCAGAGGTACACAGTTCAAATCCACAGATGCTTTACTGGAGAAGGAGTGGCAATCTCTTCCTGTACCAGTTAGATATGAATTGACAGTACACATGCAATAAATAATTTTAAAAAAGATGAATTGCATCAGTTCTCCCCCTCCTCTGTTTCAATCCTGTATACATCATTCCTCCCTTCCTTCTCTGTCTTCCCTCAACCCTGATGTCAGTCCCATTTTACAACAGTGGCCCTATATATTTGTCCTTTTGTGACTGAGATATTTCACTCAGCAAAATGTCCTCCAGGGTCATCCATTTTGCATAATATTTCATGAGTTCCTTGTTTTTCAACGCTGCATAGTATTTCATTGTGTGAATATACCAGAGCTGCTCTGTCCATTCATTTGTTGATGATATAATTTCGGGTTTTACATCTAGGTTCTTGATTCATCTTGAGTTAGTTTTTGTGCATCGTGTGAGGTGTGGGTTTTGTTTCCATATTTTTACAAATAGATAAACCAGTTTGCGAGCACTATTTATGGCTTCCCCTTTTAGTGGATGTCATCTCTAAGTCAATGATACTTGTCTGTAGGTGAAGGGATTTGCTTTTGGGCTTTTAATTCTTTCTGATTGATTTATGTATTTGTTACTATGCCAGTACTGTATTGTTTTGGTTATGGTGACTGTGTAATAGCTTTTTAAAATTGGGAAGCGTAAGGCCTTCTACATTTTTTAAAATTTTCAGTGGTGCTTTGCTTCAATTGTAACCTCTTTCCTTTTCATGTTAAATTGGTTATTGTGTTTTCTGTCTCTTTGAAGAGTTATAAGGGGTTCTAAATCTGGATTGCATTATATCTGCCGTTCACTTTTGATAGTATTGAAATTTTCACAGTAACATTCTTATGTGTGAAGACTCCTGAAAAGTTAGCTATTAGATAAGCTGGGGAGATTTTCATCTTTTCTAAGATAGATCACTGTCCTTGTAAACAGGCTTTCCTTCGAGTGGATATAGGTCAGTCTATAGGATATTTTTTTCTTTTTAAAAAACTTTTTATGTTTAATAATTTTGTATTTATAGAAGTTACAAAAAAAAGTTACAAAGATAAGACAGAGGGGAGCTCTGGTGGCCTAGTGGCAAGGAGCTGCAACTACAATCCCAGAGGTGCACGGTTCGAATCCACCAGATGCTCTGCCGGGGAAGGAGGGACAATCTCCTCCTGTACCAGTCAGATCTGATTTGATGGTACACGCACACAAAAATAATAAAATAAAAAAAACAAAGATAAGACAGAGCGTTCCTGTGTATTCCTCAAAACTCAAACTCACTGTTGTTTAGTCCTAAGCAACTCTCCAGTGGGTTTCTGCGTCTGTAAATTTCACATGGAGATTACCCGTCTTTTTCCCAAAGAGCCACTGTTACTTCAAACCACCAGAGAGGCACCATTTCTTGGGTTGGCAGTGTAACTTGCTTTTGACAGTGCCACTAGAGCTTCCTGTACCTCTCAGCCAGCTTCCCCTATTGTTAACATATTGTTTCAGAAGCTGTATACCACATGGGAAGAGATT